AATGCATGGCAGATTAGTGCCTGTAAGTGTGTCTGCCAAAGTTTAGTAAACCAATGCAAGAAGTTAGGTAGGACAAATGCATTTTTAAAACAAGAGAATAATTTGGTTCTTCGGTAATGTCAAATTCAGCTTTAATTTGTTGAATAAATTTCTCATTCTATGTAAGTAAATCTAAAGGCTCTGAGTCGAATAATTCCAACTGAGGACGTTTCAATAGAGGCATATATTGTTCTTGGCCGTGACGAAAGCCAGTTATTGTCACCTTTTCAGAAGTCAGAATGAAGTCACATCAAGTGGGGCTTAGGTACTTACGGAGCAGCAGCTATTTTTTCTTTCAAACACTGAATCTGTGGCAACTGTAAGTTGGAATGCTAGTGCCGTGGGAAGGAAAAAAGAAAAGATTTAATCCACCATCCATGCACAATAATTCTAAATCTTGTACTCTGCCTATGGTCTTTTCCTATGCTGGTATAGACGTTGTATCATGGCAGACCTTTAAACCTTTAAAAACCCGGAGTTTTGCTATGATTTGTAACTTACCATCCACTTGCTGGGTTCAGGTCATTGTGTAGCCGCAGCCCTCACATAGCAGCAGACCGTGCCGCTGTGCAGAATGAGCATCATCTGGTCTTTCCTTGAGCATTTTGCTTCTTCATGCGCTGATCTTTATTAGCAATGCCACTGCAGCTAGTCTCATCGGATCCACGTAGCTTCTGATTTGTGGTGTACCGCATGTAGTTGATGGGCTAAGGATTACGAAACGGTTGACTATGCATGCCGACTCATGCCTTACGAGACTACGGCAATGCACAGTTCCCTGCACGTCACGAGTTTAGCAATTAGATGGTGAGCTCCTATAAACTGACTAATGTGATGGTCGGTTTCAACTGGACAGAGTGTAGAGTTACCTGGGCAGGGCGCTTCGTGGAATCATCTACATTGTGGCATGCCTGTGAGGGATTTTCTTAGCTGGGTTATTTGAGGCTGGGTTTTGGGCCACACGAGTGGAAAACGTGCTGACGACAGGCGTGCATGCGTTCGTTTTCTCTCTTGACTGTGGGTGTGACCAGCTGCTTCGAGTTTTTGTGGCCTTGACTTTGCCCGCAATGATGGGCTATACCCTGGAACTGTAAGCTCAGGTCTACCCCTGCTCTCTTAGTTGCTTTGGCCAGAGTATTTTCTTATCTCTGGAACTGGAATAGACACCGGGGATGACTAGTTAATGCAATAATATGATATTCTGTGTGACTGTGCATACCTGAAGACTTGCGCGGGTGGCTGTGGCCCTGTGTACCTATTTACTGAGCAGAATGGGTCATAATTTATTCAGTCACTTACTTTTCCATTCAGTCACCCAGCTGACAGTGTGCCAGGCGCTGGTCTTACTTCTGGGTGCGCCACAGCGAGGTGAACTAAACGAAAATCCCCGTGTTCATGGGTTTTATACTGCATGGTAGAGAAGAAAATAAGCAGGAAGTGTATTAAAAATTGTATAGCTTATTAGAATGCCATAGCTGCTATGGAAAGATCAAGCAAGAGGAGAAGAATCAGCAATCCCTTGCAAGTAACATAAAAATATGGTGTTAGCGGAAAAAAAAAACAATCAAACAAAGGCTTGAAAGGGGAGGGCCAGAGTCTCTGTGGGCGTCCGAGGATCACACCCTCTATCAGGTTGTGCGAGGATGTCTTAGAATGCACATGCATGTCATGGTAGCCAACTAGAGGGAAGAGAGACTTGAGGCTTTTACTCTGAGGGTGTTTACTCTGTAGGAAGAGAACAAGGGGCGAAAATCTAATTGCACTCAGCAGAGGAAAAGGATTTGAAGGAAGAAGTTGTCATCAGTTCCAAAGATTAGCTGATACACACGGAACAATCACAAAGCGGAGGACCGGAGTCCATCAGTCCAATCTCAGGCACGTGGCCAGACCCTGCTAAAGGAGAGCACAATGAAGGTTTAGTTGCAAGCTTAGGAAGAAGAGGCCGCTGAGGGAAAAGCTTGTGTAGTTGGGCGCATCCAATCTAGAATTAGCTAACACATCATTGAAACTACTGGCAGTAATTCCCAGTCCTTTCCCACACACGCAGGGATAAAAATATGGGGGGATGAGCCCCATGGTGGTTTTTAGGGTAACCGTGCTGGGCATTTATATTTGAAAAGCACTGAGAGAGTAGTCTGTCTTTTGAAAACAAATATATTTAGAACATTTCTTTAAAAACAAAACAACAGAAATCCTGTTTTAAGATGGCTGTTGCTATAACACTTAGGAGCCACCAGGTGGCAGAAGAACTCCATTTCTGCCTCTGAGGCCCATTCTCAGTTGGTCTTTGGTCCTCCACCCAATTTTCCTTGAATTTTTACCATTTTGTTGGTTTGAAAATATATATATAGGCCAGGTTCTCTAAAAGAGCCCGTGCTGACATTTTTAAAAAAATTTGCAGTATTAAGAATTTACAGGAAAAAAATCAGTAAAGTATTTAGAATTACTCTAATTCAATAAATTATATATTTTTGAGATTGATAGCTTTTCTGATGTATTGTGAATGCAACTAAACATTATGAGGTAATGTTTAGTAGCCATAATCACATCTAAAACATACATTTTGTATGGAGATATTATTAATATGTATTGCATATCCTTACTTTATTCTTTAAAAACTATTTTTTCCTTCCAGGAAGTTAGAAACTCTGTTCATCCTATACATTAAAGGAATGAAAAGCTGTGTGCTGGAGATTGAAGAGCCCAAAGCTAGTGGGTTCAAATAGATCCTGTGTGGATTCTGGATTCATGGTTGACCTTGGGTAAATTCCCCAACACCTACCTCTCCGTTTGTCCCCTGGTGTGGAGGTAACAATAAACCCTATTCCACATGGCTGGCTCACTGACATCAAGAGTATGCATGATGAATTTAAAAGACTGCAAAATAACAGAATTGCTTCCTTTATTTCAAAGCTTCATATTATTAATTGCTACGCGTGGTTTAACGCAAGTGAGCACGCCAACATCCACGCAAAACTAGCAGAGTAGAAATCTCCATTCAGTAGCTCATAAAAAAAACAGGCTAAAAGGTCTCCAACTCTAAACCTCGTGTTCACTGTTCTGCAACGTCTTCCCGCTTGTTGTGAGGAAGCATGGTATTCATTGCAGCTTGTGCGTTTGGGCTTTGTTCCTCGTGATTATGTATTTGCAATGTGAAGTATCTACTGTGCTTTGTAGAGAAAGGAAAACGAAGAGCAAGGCTCGTTGACAGGCCATGCTGTCCTCTTTATCCTTAGACGTGATTTACCAAGAGCTGACAATGTCAGGGCACGGGCTAACTCTCCACCTCACACGGCAGAAAGCCGGGAGACCGACGTTGTGCCTCTGCACTCTAACCTGGGTCCCCGCAAGAAGTCTGATGAGGTTATAGTGCACGTTTTTCATTTCTCCACCGTGAAGGAATGGGGTTGCTTGCAGGAAGGAAGCTTAAATCTGTTTACTCTGAATGAAGCTACGGGCAAAGATGCTACAAGCATACTGAGCATCACAGTATGTAGCTGGGAAGGAGTTTTAGATCTGTCTTATGTATTTGGTCTCAGGCAAGAAAGACATTAAAGCACGGGTTCAGAAGAATGTCTGAGAAAATGAAATGGGACACTGGGGGACCATGCAGAAAGCTTCTGCCACTACAAAGGGTTGCTTATCTGAGATACTGTAGCAGTACTTGGAGATATCTGCATGCACTTTAATTATAGCTATGCTTCGTAATTCACGTGTTTGAGGATCCAAAGTCTTTGGAGGATTTAAAACTTAGAGTTAGTTTTCCTCCAATACCTTGATGGACTTGGACTTTGTGGGTTCCCTAGGTCCATTTGATGAGCTTGAAAAACAGGGGCTTTGTTTTCAGAAGCGCTTGCACACAGGCAAGGCAGACCTTGCTTCTCACTGGGTACCTTCTTCCCATCGTAATTGTTTCTTGCTTCTGTTTGCTTCGCCAGAAATCATGGAAGTGGACATGACCTTGTTAGTTACCTAGAGTTCTGCTCAAGTATAACTGAATAAAAGTCTCCATGTTCCCAATGGAGACAGCATCTTTGCTCCTGCAACTGGGAAGCCTGGAGTAAACTCCCCAGTCCCCATTGGAGAAATGACTCCAGTCCTCAAGGTCTGTGTTAACTACTTGTTATGTTGCTGCAATAAAATAACAACAAGAGCAACTTGAAAGTGGAAGGACCACTGGTTCTAAAGAAGTCCACCATGGCAAGAAGTCATGGCAGCAGGAATTTTGAGGCCGCTGCTCATACATGCAGTAAGGAAGTGAGGAGGAGGAGGGGGGGGAGGAGAGTGAGAGGGAGGAACGCCCACGTTTAACTAGCTTCCTCCTTTTTATGCAATCTAGGATGCCTGCCCTGGCTATGACTTCATCCACTTTTCGGATGGAGCGTCCCTCTTCAACTGATCTAATCAAGATTATCCTTTGTAAGACCAGAGCCTGTCTCGGTGGTGATTCCAGATCCTGTTGTGTTGAAAAGCAATATTAGCTGTCACAAGGACCTCATCAGGTAAAATGGCTGCTGTGCTGTTGCTGATTCTCTGAGGTAAGATGTTTCCTTCCTTTCCTGCGCGGCCGACAGTCCACCAGTCGGCACCCTCCAATTGTGCTGCTGGTCTTTTCTCTTCTGGCACTGACTTCAGTTTGTTTTTCTCCAAACTCCTCCCAGTAAGGGAAATGAAAAGAGTCTTCCTTTGCTTCTTTAATTTTGGTTTAGTAAAAGACAAGGCTGAGACACACACATAACTGGCAAAACCATTATTGTGCGATTATAATAAATATGTGATAAAATAGATGATATAATAATTCACATGCAATGGAAACAGACTTATTATAAAATTTACCATTTAAGCCAAGTTTTCAGTAATGATTCAGTAATAATAACCATATCCATATTTTAACAGAATCATCACCACTCTAAAGTTTCTTCTTTTTGTGCTTGTAATCTATGGGGTTTTCTGGAAAAAAAAAAAGAGTCCGATCATTTGTGAACAGTTAGAAATTCAATCATTCCTTTTCAATTTGCATAGCTTTTGTTTCCTTCCTTGCCTAGAACGTCCAACACTGTGTGTAACAGAGACTGGATGAAGAATACCCACAGTTCCCAACCCTGCTTACATGTAGCTAGAGGAGTCACGTGCCTAGAGAGAAGAACATTGTTTAACAAGGGCTCTGGAGAAGAGGTAATGACAGCTGTCAGCTTGAAGTTATGGAAACATTTTGAACAAGGTTAGTGAACTTCTGCCCTGGTTTTCGCTTTCACAGAAAACAGCCAGTCTTGTATGTGATGCTCCTTTGTCTATGACTGGAAAACAGTGGTCTGGTGAAGCAATGCACAGAGAGGTAGGATTGGCCCATGGCACTTAGGGAGACAGCTTGTGACTTTCCTGGGTGTAATACATCTATTGAGACTCAGTAAGGATTCTAGTAAATGAAGTTTTACTGTGTCAACTCACTCCTGGTTCCAACAGGCAGAGAGAGGTGGTAGATTTCTAGTGGAGAAGTTGAGCGTCATTTTTTTTTAACCCTGGAGGAACCCCCGCTATTATCTATTGGACATAGGGAGAAATGGTATTTGGTATTTGTATATCCAGTATCCAGTGGTTGTGTCTTTTGTTTTCCTACTGTTATGACCAGTAACAACCTTGAACAGGCATGGAGTAATGTTCGCCTAAACAGGAGAAGATAAATGAAGACTGAGCTTTCTAGAGGACAGAATTATAGGTCAAACTGTCAAAATACTGGCCAAGAGAAATGGAAAATAGATGATGAAGAAGATGAATGGAATGCCAGTCATACCTCAGATTGACTGCAGCAGCAGGCACTGGTGATCCGTGTTTAGCTGATAGTCTCTGTAGACACTGGTTTGAAGGTCTACTGGAACTGTGTAAGCTAGAAGAGGCCGTTGGATGTAGTGTGATGTTCTATTCCATCTACCTCTGTGATAGCCAACTTATATCAGGGTTTAACTAGCTGCACGTATGCAACATGACGGAGCTCATAAATAGTATTGTCACTGTGGACTTCTAACTCTTTGCCTTGGGCTTCTCTGAGGCCATGACATTGAGTGTCCTTAGAAACATGCTCCAATCACATAAGGGTAAAGCCTGAGCACGCGGGGGAGATGAGGCCCTGGTAACACTCCTACCCACAAAGGGTGAGAACACACTGATAAATGCTTTCTGTTTTCTCTTTCCAGAAAGCCTGAGCATGAGGGGGAGATGAGGCCCTGGTAACACTCCTACCCACAGAAGGGTGAGAACCCACTGATAAGCGCTTTTTGTTTTCTCTTTCCAGAGAGACATAGAGACTGGTGAGGAGAGAGATTGATTCAGAAATGTTGGATGAAATTCATCAGATGTTTCACGCAGATCCAACACCACACTCTAACTTGATAAAACACCCCTGTGTTGACATTTCTGTCTGCTTCCCACAAGGCTCACTTCCCAAATAAAGCACTGCACTGAAGACTTTGACGAAGGGTCACCTTTCAGGGGTCACAATGTAAGACACAACTGAAAAATCCTGCCTGCCAGTGAAAACGACAAAAACAAAAAAGCAGAATTGGAGAGAAGATGGGAGATGTGATACACAGCGTGGTGGGTTTAATTCCACGAACGTGGCAATGCAGAGAGATTAAAACACAACTTTCAAGACGCAGACAAATGGTTTGTCTGCATCCCCACGATGCATCTGGTTTTCTTTCTTTTTGGGTTTCGCTACGTTCGGGTGAGCCAGCGGCTGATCAACAGAGTAGAATTAAGACTGTTCAGTACGGTGAACAAGGGAAATTTAATTCGTAGTCTGAAGGTGTTAGTTGGGGATGACAGAATACGTGGAGACAGCTTTGTCATTCCATGTCCCAGATGGATATATAAGAGGGAGAGAAACACAAGGGTGGGGAGGCGGGAGGGAGGACCGTGCCCGCCCAGCCGACCAGGTGTCGTCAGTCCTCTGATCTCTTTCATTCAGGCTCATTGGTGGAACCAATGGAGACACTCCTCTCTGGACATCCTTAGACAGAAACCCAGGCAGTAAGAGGAGCGAGCAGAGCTCTGTCTCAGTGGTTACAGGCAGCAGTGGGAGGACAGTTGAGGGTTCAGAGAGAGTCTGTGAAATTGCCAGTGTCATATGGTTTCCCCTATATGTCTGGATTTCATCCAGATCCCAAAGCGTGGTCTCTGACTCAAGCTCCTCACATACGGCATGGGTGGCAGTGTTCTGAATCTGGAAATGTAAATAAGACACTAATCGAAAGTTCAACAACATAGTCCTAGCTCAGGGCAGAGAAGTCTGAGCTTTGTTTTTGGGAGGATCATGCTGGACCCCAATAAAGCAAGGTGAGCAAGGCCCCTTTGGAATTCACAGGAGAAACCGGAGTGCATAATCCTTCATATGTGAACATGTCCCCACACTGGCACAAGCATATCATTTTTTCACAAACTACAATATAAAAACAAATTCCCTAGGTTCTTTTGCTTTGTGGGGAAAACACTGTTTATCAAACACTTTATCTTCAGAATACTGGAAGCCATGCAACGTTTACTTAGATGCTGTCACCTACAGAGTGACATCTCAGTCATGTGCAATGCTCCCCTGGAGAATAGTCGGGGCTGCAAACCAGTGAATTTGGAGTGTTCTTTTCCAAGGGAATCCAACCAAGTAGGATAAGAAAATACTCACACGGGTCCATGTCCTCACAGCACTGAGAAAGAGTGGAGCATCTCTGTGTGTGGTTAGTCTGCAGCAGAACTAACCAACTGCATGAGCGTGATGAGCAGAATGTGGGAACAGGAGTTGATGTGAACTCCTTAGTGCATCTCTCTTATCTATGCCTCCCCGCCCCCATCCAAGGCTGCTACAACCCCGGAGCCTTGTCTGAATATGGGGAAAGGCTGTTTTGAAAGGATTCTGTGATCCGATATCAGAAAACACAGATTTTCAGCTCCTGCTATGCAAGAAACCAACTGTGGGACCTTGATTTACATAAGCCTTTGTGCTTCTATTTCCTCATCTCTAAAATAAGGCCTATTATAATTCCTGTGCCATAGTGTAGAATATCAAGTAGTGTGTGTGTGTGTGTGTGTGTGTGTGTGTGTGTGTGTGTGTGAAATTATTTATAAATAGAAAAGCGCCATCCATCTCCAATTCATGCAGTTTCTTCTCTTCCGGGGCAAACTTGGAATCTCCACGGTGGCATGAGATGGACGGCACAGACTGGGAAATTTACCTTTCCTGCCGCCCGCCCCTTTTTCTGCATTATTCATCTTTGTCCCATTTGGAGGGCATGATGCCATCCAACTGTGCATGGCTCTACACCTCAATAACAACTCCAGAGACATCGAACTTAATGTATGCTGCAACACGTGTCTGAGAATAAATGGGCTGTGGGACGGGAAATGCCGGTTCTGCCTCGCTCCCGGGGACGTCACGATGACACAGCTGCGTCTATAAATGAAGCCATTTGAGGAGTTAACATGGAAGAAGGCACCGCATAATCACCAACTTCTGTGGAGCCGCACACGGACCATGCTCTAGAAATTAATAAAACCACCGAAGACGATGGGAAAGATACACAAAATGAAAACCAAACGAATGGATTCGCTTTCTTGCGTGGTTCAGCAAGTCTGATCCAAAGGCTGCCAGGCTCTGCTGGGCTGTGGTTTAAATGGTATTTCTGAGTGATTTACACCACAGCCGTGTAAGAAATCAAAGTCAAACAGGGTAAAAATGAAGAATGATCACACTTTTGATTCTAGTGGGTAAAAAGTACTTTGGAGGTGGGAAAGAAGTTGGTAAATAAAAATAGTTTTTGTCATTGGTGCTGATTTAAAAGCTAGCAGCTTATCTCTCTTAATATTTTCAGCATTCATTTAATTCCAAAAACCTTCTTGTCCACCTAGATTCTCATTCACTCTTCTAACCAGCTAAAAACGCTACAGAGATTTCTTTTCCTGTGCAACTGGAACCACGCTCAGGGCTTACAATATGAACCTGCTTAATTTCCCACAATTATTATTATTAATCTAGATTTTCAGTCAAGGGAATTGAGATTCCTAGGCTGTGAGCAACAGATCATTATGATGCAGTTATTCAGCCATAGAATGGGGCTTTATTCAGCTCTCCCCCTTTACTGTACAATAACCTTTCCCACAATGACATCTAAATGTCCCTAAGTATGTAGGTGGGTGTGCTCACCTATGCCTATGTATGACCCAGAGGGGCACACGTGGTGTCTGCCTCTAGAGTTTTGTCACCTTATTTTATTTTGAGGTAGAGTCTCTCACTAAACGTTGAGTTTGGTATTTTGTCTACACTGGCTGGCCAATGAGTCCCTAGGCGTCTACCTGTCTGCTTTCCCCAGGGCTGGGGGTGCAGGTAGGTGTGGTCACATTTGACTGTTATGTGGGTACTAAACTCAGGACCTCGTGCCTCAGCAGCAAGTGCTTTACCTCCGGAGCTATCTCTCCAGCCCGTAAGTTTAGTCTTTAATTTTTATTAGTTTTCTTAGCAAGTTTTAATAACTCCAAAAAAAAAAAACCTGGAGGCAGCATCCTTATACTTAGAGTACACCCAGAGTGAGAAATACTAGGAAATGTAAAATTTTGTCCGAGACATTAAGCAACTATTTATTATATTTCACCCTGTAAGGGAGAATATAACTTATTTGTCTTCACAATTTACTTTGATTTCATGCTGTGTGCATTTTAATTGGAATGCTACATCAGAGTTGCAAGGGAACTTTTTAAAAGGGCAGATTTCTGGGTGGCACACCTGCCCACTGAATGGGAGCTGATGGGGTTACTTTGAGAGAGGTAGGTTTTTTTTTTAACCAGCAGACCATTTCCTCCTGACACATGCTAAAATGGGAGGAGCAACCAACCCAGACTGTGCTAGATGCTGTGTGGATGGGAGCATGGCCACCCCTTTGAAAGGTGACTACTGCAGACAACTCTTTGCCCCAAGTCA